TCTATTCAACAGTCTTTTATCTACTAATACATAATCCAACAAACTACTGTCATTTTGCCCTACATCATATCTTGTATACTTATCCTCTTTTTCTTAAAATATGTATTACCTGTAACTAAACCCCTTTCTATACAAAGTTCAATCAAAGGCTCCCATTTTCATTTACACCTGGCACCCCAAACTTAACTACCACACCCTCTCTAAAAGTTTCTCCTACTTTAGCATTCAGGTCCCCTACCACAATTACTCTCTCACTTGGTTCAAAGGTTCCTATACATTCACTTAACATCTCCCAAAACCTCTCTCTCAACTCTACATTCCTCTCTTCTCCAGGTGCATACATGCTTATTATCACCCACTTTTTGCATCCAACCTTTACTTTAATCCACATAATCCTTGAATTTACACATTCATATTCTCTTTTCTCCTTCCATAACTGATCCTTCAACATTATTGCTACCCCTTCCTTAGCTCTAACACTCTCAGATACTCCAGATTTAATCCCATTTATTTCTCCCCACCGAAACTCCCCTACCCCCTTCAGCTTTGTTTCGCTTAGGGCCAGGACATCCAACTTCTTTTCATTCATAACATCAGCAATCATCTGTTTCTTGTCATCCGCACTACATCCATGCACATTCAAGCATCCCAGTTTTATAAAGTTTTTCTTCTTCTCTTTTTTAGTAAATATTTACAGGAGAAGGGGTTACTAGCCCATTGCTCCCGGCATTTTAGTCGCCTCATACGATACGCATGGCTTACGGAGGAAAGATTCTTTTCCACTTCCCCATGGACAATAGAAGAAATAAAGAAGAACAAAAACTCTTTAGAAAAAAGGAGAAAAACCTAGATGTATGTATGTATATATATGCATGTGTGTGTCTGTGAAGTGTGACCAAAGTGTAAGTAGGAGTAGCAAGATATCCCTGTTATCTAGCATGTTTATGAGACAGAAAGAGACACCAGCAATCCTACCATCATGTAAAACAGTTACAGGTTTCTGTTTCACAGTCATCTGGCAGGACGGTAGTACTTTCCTGGGTGGTTGCTGTCTACCAACCTACTTCGTGTAAAGAGTTTTTATGAGGATAGTGAGGCTCAGGTTAGGGTGTTTAGAAGAGAGGGAGACTACTTCCCGGTAAAAGTAGGTCTTAGACAAGGATGTGTAATGTCACCAGGTTGTTTAATATATTTATAGATGGGGTTGTAAAAGAAGTAAATGCTAGGGTGTTCGGAAGAGTGGTGGGATTAAATTATGGGGGATCAAATACAAAATGGGAATTGACACAGTTGCTTTTTGCTGATGATACTGTGCTTATGGGAGATTCTAAAGAAAAATTGCAAAGGTTAGTGGATGAGTTTGGGAGTGTGTGTGAAGGTAAAAAGTTGAAAGTGAACATAGAAAAGAGTGTGTGTAAAGGTAGAAAGTTGAAAGTGAACATAGAAAAGAGTAAGGTGATGAGGGTATCAAATGATTTAGATAAAGAAAAATTGGATATCAAATTGTGGTGGAGTAGTATGGAAGACGTGAATGTTTTCAGATACAGTGGAATCTCTACGTGAGAGCATGTCCATGTGCGAGTTTTTCTGTATATGAGCAGTTGATGGGTTGATTTTTTGCTTCCATACTCGAGCAAAATTTCCTCAAGCAAGCAGGCCTCAAGGAACGTTCTTTGACACTGGTGAGGGGCTCTTGCTCTTGATCTCGCAAATTGTATCTCATTTGTTTGTTGAACTATCTTATTGAAACTTGGCCAATGTAGGATGGAAAAATGCTTCTTAACGTACACCAAAAATGAAGGAAATCTAAGCATGAATAATGGAGTTCACTTCTCAGCAATTAGCCACCCCTTCGCGGTAATTTCGAATGGTTTTTATGGTTGTATTCTCATTTTTTGGTCTCATTTGATAGAATGGAAGATATATTACAGAAATAGATATGATTTTGATTGTTTTCACAATGAAAAGTACCTTGAAATAGAGCTCAAGCTAGGAGAAATGGTCCATTGCTTGGCTGTGTCAGTGTAAACAAATGACATCACTGTCCATTCCAATATGCAGTCGTGAATGGGTCGACATTATTTATACAATTATTGCAATAAGGATATATGTTAATAATAATAATAATATGTATAATAATTGTATAATATAATAATAATAATAATAATAATAATAATAATAATAATAATATGTATAATAATAATACATATATAATAATGTACTACATATAATAATACATCTTCCAAAGGCCGTCACTAGATGGCAGTGTTTACCACAACAAAGAGGGAGTGGTTGTGGCCACCTTCACCTGTTACATAATGACATATTTATTCTAGAGCATATATCATGTTTTTATTTTATTTATATTGTTTGTTATGTCATATTGGATGAACTGTGATAGATAAATAAGCCATATAGATGATATTAGCAAAATTATTCTTGAAGTATTTTGCCCGGTCTCCAGACAAACTCTCGTCCACTGCCGACACCGCCCATACCACTACATGAATGACATATTTTATTCATTCTAGAGTATGTATCATGTTTCTGTGTTATTCATATTGTTTGTTATGTCATATTAGATGAACTGTTATAGATAAATAAGACGTAGAGTTGATATTAGCGAAATTATTGAAGTACAGGATTCCACTGGAATGGATTAATTGCATTTCAGTTTATATAAATGAGGAAAATTGACTCTGCAAACGAGCAAATCCAGTTGCGAGCAAGGTCATGGAACGGATTAAACTCGCAAGTAGAGGTTCCACTGTACTTGGGAGTTGACGTGTCAGCAGATGGATTTATGAAGGATGAGGTTAATCATAGAATTGATGAGGGGAAAATAGTTGAGTGGTGCGTTGAGGTATATGTGGAGACAAAAAACGTTATTTATGGAGGCAAAGAAGGGAATGTATGAAAATATAGTACCAACACTCTTAAATGGGTGTGAAGCTTGGGTTGTGAACGCAGCAGCGAGGAGGCAGTTGGGGGCAGTGGAGATGTCCTGTCTAAGGGCAATGTGTGGTGTAAATATTATGCAGAAAATTTGGAATGTGTAAATTAGAAGGTGTGGAGTTAATAAAAGTATTAGTCATAGGGCTGAGGAGGGGTTGTTGAGGTAGTTTGGTCGTTTGGAGAGAATGGATCAAAGTAGAATGACATGGAGAACATTTAAATCGGTAGGAGAATGAAGGCGGGGTAGGGGTCGTCCTCGAAAAGGTTGGAAGGAAGGGGTAAGGGAGGTTTTGTGGGCGAGGGGCTTGGACTTCTAGCAGGCATGCATGAGCATGTTCGTTAGGAGTGAATGGAGATGAATGGTATTTGGGACTTGACGATCTGTTGGAGTGTGAGCAGGGTAATATTTAGTGAAGGGATTCAGTGAAACCGGTTATTTTTATATAGGCGGACTTGAGTCTTGGAAATGGGAAGTACAGTGCCTGCACTCTAAAGGAGGGGTTCGGGATATTAGGAGTTTGGATAGATATATTGTGTATCTTTATTCGTATATGCTTCTAAACTGTTGTGTTCTGAGCACCTCTGCAAAAACAGTGATTGTGTGAGTGAGGTGAAAGTGTTGAATGATGATGAAAGTATTTTCTTTTTGGGGATTTTCTTTCTTTTTGGGTCACCCTGCCTTGGTGGGAGGTGGCCGACTTGTTAAGAAAAATAAAAAATAATGCATGATGTATACGTAAGAATAATTCAGATTGCTTCTGCTAGTTGGCACAACTGGTAAGCAGTAAACATGTTTACATCCCTGTGGGGGCAGTTCTCTCGTGCTTGTTTGCATTTTTTATTGTCATTTGGCCAAATTTCTTTTTTCTAACCATTGGTCGTAGTGATATATTGCAGTTAGCCTCAAAAATACTCCATTTTCTCTTACAGTAAGAACATGGGAAGATACTGTAGTCAAATTGGGACAGAAATTGCCGACGCTTCTGCTGCTGCCTCTGCCACAATGTTATTGTCTATTTTATTCATTCTAGAGTATACATTGTGTTTCTGTGCTAATTATATTGTTTATTATGCATATTAGATGAATTGTGATAGATAAATAAGCCATCCACTTGATAATAGCGTCATATTCAAGTATTTTTTCTTGTCTCTCCAGAGTGCAGGAACGAATTAATGGCTTTTCATTTTATTTAAATGGGGAAAATTAATTTGATATTTGAGGATGGATTTATGAAGGATGAGGTTAATCATAGAATTGATGAAGGAGAAAAGGTGAGTGGTGCGTTGAGGTATATGTGGAGTCAAAAAACGTTATCTATGGAGGCAAAGAAGGGAATGTATGAAAGTATAATAGTACCAACACTTTTATATGGGTGTGAAGCTTGGGTTGTGAATGCAGCAGCGAGGAGGCAGTGGAGATGTCCTGTCTAAGGGCAATGTGTGGTGTAAATATTATGCAGAAAATTCAGAGTGTGGAAATTAGGAGAAGGTGTGGAGTTAATAAAAGTACATATGTATTAGTCAGAGGGCTGAAGAGGGGCTGTTGAGGTGGTTTGGTCGTTTGGAGAGAATGGATCAAAGTAGAATGACATGGAGAGCATTTAAATCTGTAGGAGAAGGAAGGCGGGGTAGGGGTCATCCTCGAAAAGGTTGGAAGGAAGGGATAAGGGAGGTTTTGTGGGCGAGGGGCCTGGACTTCCAGCAGGCGTGCATGAGCGTGTTCAATAGGAGTGAATGGAGAAGAATGGTATTTGGGACCTGACGATCTGTTGGAGTGTGAGACTTGAGTCCTGGAAATGGGAAGTACAATGCCTGCACTCTAAAGGAGGGGTTTTGGGATATTAGCAGTTTGGAGGGATATGTTGTGTATCTTCAGACGTATATGCTTCTAAACTGTTGTGTTCTGAGCACCTCTGCAAAAACAGTGATTGTGTGTGAGTGAGGTGAAAGTGTTGAATGATGATGAAAGTATTTTCTTTTTGGGGATTTTCTTTCTTTTTGGGTCACCCTGCCTCGGTGGGAGACGGCCGACTTGTTGAAAAAAAAAAAAACATTAATAATGTAACTTTCTAACAGGATGTGTGTCCTACCAAGAGCTGAAGGAGAGTCTAGGGTTGGTGTTCAAAGCTGTGATGTCTGGGGAGGTTCGTCCTGAGATACATGTCCGCAACATCACACAGGTAAAAATAAAGTAGGTCTGGGTTACATAAATGAGACTGATTTGTAGGTAGAACATTTAAGTTTTTTTTATTATATATAACTTGGTCAAATTAAAATTTAATTTGTTCCAGATGTTGATTCGACAACCAAAATTAACTCCACCCAAAGCTATTTTTCCCATAAATAGTAATGTAAATAGAATTAATCCATTCCAGACCCCAAATGACAATAATTTAATAATGTACTAACTACATTTCCTTGACAAGTGCAATGGGCACATCATCCCTTACCTCCTCTTCCTCTGATGGCAGTTCCTCCGCTGCAGTCCATTGCAGCTCCTCCTTTCTAATAATTTTTTTTTAAAACTCGCCAGTGATTTTAACAACTTTTCTTTTGCTTTCATCTCATTATCCTTTAGATCTATGATGGCTTATCTCATAGTAATAAAATTGCCCTAAAACTGCAACAAAATAAGTTCAAAAGATGCACAACAAAAGGAGTTTTCATCATGCGAGTTAGTGGCTATACCCGCAGTATGTGAAAACTTGTCTTTTGACAGCCAAGAGAACGTACGTAAACCAGGACATATTTTCTCAAACACCTTGTTCACAAAAATTATTTATTTGACAAGTAATGCAGTCGACAAACCAAGGTTAGACTGTAGAAGTTTGATGAAGAAAATTATGTGTAGGATGTGAATGTTCACTCAGCTCACACACTTAGGTCCGGAGTTTGGATCTCCTCCAGTACGGCTGGAAAACATTAGCGACGTGTTCCCATAAGACACCTGCTGTCCCTGTTCGCCCATCAGTTAAATGGGTACCTGGGAGTTAGTCAACTGGTGTGGGACAAAACTGATCTAATTTGCCCAAAATCCGCTGCATAACAAGGGGCTTTCTATATAGTAGTATGTCATTGATGTCAACTAGGCCTGTATACCTTGTTCATGTACTTGTAGTAAATAAAGATGTTAATTTTAATAATAATAATATGTTTGTTTCCAATTCATATTTTCTTACAGAAAATGTTGAGTAATTGATAGGTAATAGTATGAGATATTGACAAGCTGGTAAATAGAAAAAATTCACTGAAAGATGTCCTCTGTATCAAGATACTGTTGTGCTGCAGTGTCTGACAGTTGTCTTGAAAACTGTATAAACTACTGACAAGTTGAAGATTAAGACACATGTGCAACAGCTGGGTATCATTATTGATTAACCCTTTAACTGTCGAGAGCCCTGCTCACAAACTTGCTCTGAGTGCCAAAGAATTTAAAAAAAATTATTTTTTCTTATGAAATGATTGAGAATGTTTTCCCAATGGTAATGACACCAAAATTACGAGATTTGATGGAAAACTTAGGGAATTACGCTCTCGCGAAGTGGGCTTTACTCTTGCGAAGTGGGCGATTTTGCCCACTTTGAACCCCATTTTCACCCAGTTCCATTGTTCCAGTCTGCCAAACTCATAGCTATTTCACTAGAACTCATTTGTTATATTGATGAGTACAAGAAACTGCCCATTTACCAATTTCAGCTACCCAATAAAGTGGTCAGAAATTGGCAATTTGGCCGATTTCACACAAATTTGAAAAGATGCCAGTTTCAAAATAGGGTCCAGAATAAACAATGCAGACATTCCTGGCACTAAAATAGCATTTTCTCTGTTCATTAGTCATGTCTCAGGCCACTGTTATATTATTCTTGCTTTCCATTTTGAAGTTTTATTCACACAAAAAATAGATATGCTGTTATGCAGACTACTGCATTATTGTAATAATTGTATAAATAATGTCAACCCATTCATGACTGCATATTAGACTGGCCAGTTCGACACATATTGTTTACTCTTGAGCATCAGCAAAAATCAAACATTTCTGGCAGCTTGAGCTCAATTTCAAGGTACATGTACTTTTCAACGAGAATATAACCATAAATGCCATACGAAAATACACCTCAAAGTCTGCATTTTAAACCAAAAACCACGGTTGGAGTTTTTTTTTTCTTTCTCAGGTACTTTATGCTGCAGGATTTTTTTTATACTGCGCATGCTGACCACGCAGACCCATTCTCTCACATGTAAGTCTAACAGCTTTCTCCCATTAGATTTGAAGCCGCTAGAATTTTGGCGTAATACTACAGCACCAACACTGGCTTGCAAGTCGTGGTACTATGGCACCGACAGTGAAAGGGTTAAAAGTCAGTTATTGGCCATCTTCACTCCACATTGTGAGCGTAATCGAAACTCTGCATGGGCGAAATTTCTCAGTTAAGGTTCTGCATAACTGCATTAGTCTCTACTATACCAGTAATTAATTTTTGTGACTTAACCCTTTCAGGGTCCGTGCCTTAGTCCTACGACTTTGAGTTGAGGGTCCAAACTGTAGATCTACACTATGAGCTCAGCTCACTCTGATCAGCTGTGAGCGGTAAATTTAGGCCTAGATATGAGAGAATACATCTAAGTGGTATGTGTGCACCACATAAAACAAATCCTGCAGCACACAGTGCATAATGAGAGAAAAAAACTGAGACCGTAATTTTTTTTATTAAAACGACTTTGCAGTGTTTCTGCGTATGTTTTTATAGTTGTATTTGCAATTTCTTGGTCTCATTTAATATAATGGAAGATATATTACAGAAATAGAGATAATTTTGATTGGGTTTAACTTTTTCAGGGTCCAGAGGCCAAATTTCAAAGTGTGCACCAGTGTCCAAGAATTTTCAAAAAATAATTGTTATTTTTCATATGAAATGGTAGAGAATCTTTTTCTGAAGGTAATAAAACAAAAAGTACAAAAAGAAAATTGACGAAATTATGCTCTCGCGAATTTTGATGTGTCAGCGATATTTATGCATCGGCAATATTGCCGACTTTGACTCCCATTTTAGGTCAGTTTATTCCAGTCAACCAAATTCTTAGCTACTTCACTAGCACAGGTCCGCCATCACAAATCCGGCAATCAGTTATTCGGCACTAATTTTGGCTAGCATAATTTCAAATTTCCAGGGTCCCCACACCAACCTGCTGTACTGTTTGGTGGCACTGCTTGCTGCGTAAGTCATTCTAATTTTTTTTTCTCCATTTATTGTTATAACCTGCTTGCTTTTAGTCCTAGCCATGGTTCCAATTAATAAAAGAAATGCTTCTCATTATGTAAAGCACCTTCACAGTACATTGTCCATTAAAGATAAGGTGGCTTTGAAGCCACTGTCGGTTGCCATGAGCTCAGTCTCATGAAGCAGGAGAATATGCTTTATTATTACGCTAATATCAACACTACAGCTTATTTGCCTATCACAATTGATCTAATATGACATAATAAACAATATAAATAACATAAAACATGTTAAATACTCCAGAATGAATAATATTTGGCATAATACCGAGCAGTTCGACAGAGGTATGAAGAGGATATGGTATACAAATACCATTCTCCTATCCCTGTCTTGGGGGCTTATATTAGAGAAAACGGAGTATAGCACAGGGATAACTGTGACATACATTCGTACTGCACCATAAACCTGAAACAAAAAAAATATTTTCTCTATAGATTATCACACATAGCAGCATGTGTAGAGAACCTACGATAACCCAAAAAAGTCAACGTGGCTTATTTCTAGTAACTGGCTTGGGTTAGCCATTTATGATTTTTGGTAAATATTCGATTCCCAGTCAGGGTAGAAACATTAGGCGTGTTTCTTTACAACTGTTTTCTATATTTACCCATCAGTAAATGGGTACCTGGGTGTTAGCCGACTAGTGTGAGTGTTATCCAGGGACACTGACCTAATTTTCTTGAAATACTCTGCATAACAAGCGGCTTTCTATATAGTAGTATGTCACTGATGTCAGCTAGGCCTGTATACCTTGTACATGTACGTGTAGTAAATAAAGATATTATTATTATTGTTATTATTATTTTCTCAATTGTTTGTTGGGTTATCTTATTGAAACTTGGGCAATGTATGATGGAAAGATACTTCTTAACGTACACCAAAAATGAAAGAAATCAGACCATAAATAGCGGAGTTAACTTCTCAACCATTAGCGGCCGCTTAGCAGTATATTTTTGTATGGTTTTTATGATTATATTCTCGTTTTTTTTGTCTCATTTGATAGAATGAAAGATATATTACAGAAATAGATATGATTTTGATTGTTTTCATGATGAAAAGTACCTCGAAATTGCGCTCACAGTAGCGATAATGTTCTATTCTTTAGCAAAGCTCAAGAGTAAACAAATGACGTCACCATCCAATACCTGTCCACCTGCCAGTCCAAATTCCAATACGGCATCAAGAATGGGTTGACAATATTTATACAATTATTACAATAATGCAGCAGTCTGCATAACAGTAAATCTTTATTTTTTTGTGAATAAAAATTCCAAATGATAAGAGGGGCCTGTAGCTGTGACTAATGAACAGAGAAAATGTTACTTTAGTGCCAGGAATGTCTGCATTGTTTATTCTGGACCCTATTTTGAAATTGGCATCTGTTGAAATTTGTGTGAAATTGGCCAAATTGCCAATTTCTGACTACTTTATTGGGTAGTTGAAATAAGTGAATGGGCAGTTTCTTGTACTCAATTGACAGACTAGAAGTAAGTAAATAAGTAAGTTTATTCAGGTATACACAAATACAGTTCCATAGATTATCATACATAGCAGCGTATGTATAGACAAAGTGACTTATTTCCAGTACCTGGCTTGGGCTTGTCATATATGATTTTTGGTAAATATTTTTTTTTCTCAGTTGTTTGTTGGGCTATCTCATTGAAACTTGGGCAATGTATGATGGAAAGATGCTTCTTAATGTACAATAAAAATAAAAAAGACGGAGGATAAATAAGGGTGTTCACTTCTCAGCCATTAGCCGCAACTTTGCAGTATATTTTTGCATGGTGTTTATGGTTGTATTCTTGTTTTTTTGGTCTCGTTTGATAGAATGGAAGATATATTACAGAAATAGACATGATTTTGATTGCTTTCATGACGAAAAGTACCTTGAAATTGAG